ACGATATATGATGCCTAATTTATGTAAATGACCCAGAGCCATTATAATTTCACTTAAATAAAAGCTATATTGATATCGAAAATAAATTAAATTAGTTATATTTAAATATTGCATTAGTTTAATTTGATCTTACCATGTTGTATCTTCTAGGAAAATACCTTCGCGTTCTAAATGCATAATAATTCGCCACCACTTAAATATTCTAAAATCAAATATAATTTACCGTCCGTTTGAAAGGCATAAACTAATTCTACAATGAATGGATGTTTTACAGCTTCTAATATATTACGTTCAGCACGAGTGTGTGCTGTATCTTTTTGATTTGTGACTATTGAGGCTTTTTTCAAAACTTTCATGGCAAAATATTTATTAGCATCACGACCAGAAGTTTTGCGCACCTTAAATAAAAAAAACCAAAAAAAGCATTTGTAATTAATTTCATATTACGTATAAAGTACATTTGCAGAAACACATACCTGAAATACTTTGCCATAACCACCTTTGCCTAAAACTTTCTTCAATTCAAAATCTTTTGGACCCAACTTAATTTTGCCAGGGTTTACATTTTCTTCTGATAATTGTATAGTTTCTTGTCCTTCCGCCCTAAAAAAGAGAAAATATTTTAAAATTGGAGTTCAATTTACAACAAAATAGGATTTTATTTGTTTCCATAGATTTGATACCAAACATTTTTTATTTCAAATTAGTAGAAAAGACTCACGATTACACAGCAACAGGATTCTTTTTCAGTAGCAAAAAATATTGCAGAGGGTACTCTTTGCAAAAGGAAATGGGCACATAGCTTCTTATAGCTACCAAAAATTGCCCCGATATTGTACTTTGTAAATATGTTGAATTTAAAGGAGCCATAATACCATTTGTTATATTTCAATATTTCGCCCTAAGACCTATACAAGCGTGAATTTAGAAACACAACTTATCGTTTACAATTGAACTACAAATATCCCAGCAAAAAATAATTCATGTCATACTTTACAAACGACATCTTAATCACATCTAAAAAAGCGATTGCATATTTTTTGCTTTTATAAACCATACATATCCTTACAAATGAAAACACAGTTAAAAGTGAGGAAAGAGATGTAGAAAAGTCACTTCAAACAACATATTTGAAGTACTTCAAATTTTGATGAAAAACCAATGAAATTTACATAAGCGTGTCATTGAAAGAATGTGGATTATTTTTGACATACAAATATTGAATTTTTACAGCTTCTAAAGATAAGATTAGATGTAGTTTAAAGTTGTCAAAAATGAACAACATGCCTCTAATGACACGCTAATGAAAATTCATAGCTTTTTCACCTGAATTTTAAACACTTCGGGTTACTAGTTATGATGAAAATTCTACATCTTTTTCCACACATTTTTTTGCTGGGATTAGAATCGTTTAAAAATTAGTTTTTTGTCAATAAATCTCTTTAATATCTATTTATTAAATTAAAATCCGATGTATGAAGGTGCTCCATTTAAAAAAATTCAATTGTTTTATAAAATTCTATACACTGCGCTTCATGACATGAGATATTTACTCTTACATTTGAATTTCTTTATTAATGCCATCTAAGTCCAGAAAAAATATTGGAAAAATCTAGGACGTCAAATTTTTTATAATTATTAATTAAAAAAGGAAATGTTAAAAAGCGTTATTTGGAGGAAAGGAGAAAATGCTAAAAAGCGATATTTGGAGGAAAGGATGATGAAAAATTAAAATCCCTAGAATAATTTCATGAGGATTGGTCCACAATTAACTTTACGTATTTGTCAATAAATCATTTCAAAATACATATTATTCGACTAAATTGAGGCTCTCAAATATTAATATCAATATGTATTATAAGATGTATTCTGAAATAAATGAATAAATATAGGGTTTTCAGTATTTTGCACATGTTTAGGTTTGTGGGTATAGCACTGTGCAATAATTGAAGAACAAAATGTTTTATTACTTACTCCTGTTGTAAATTTATGCTTAATTCTGGTTCCAAGTCAACCTAAAAAGGAACAAAAAAATATGTATTAGCAATTATATATCATTATAATAACATTTTAAGTACATTTTTTAAATTTCTTCAAATGTCCACAAAAATGGACTCGTCCGACAAAAATTTCAGTGACAAAAAACAATAGGCACTATCTAAAAAAACATTTAAATACTAAAAATAAAAAGTTCAACTTATCCACTTTTATATACGCCATTGTCAACTATTTTAGCAAATGATAGTTTTTTCTTTTAAAAGTTTGTTTATTTCAGGGACGTAACGGTTATAAGAAATATGACGAAAAGGAAAAAATAACAATTATTTTCGGTCCATAGTTTATTTAATAAATAAATTTCGTTGATAGAAACAAACGTTTAAATAGTTTTCTGCCGTTTGCGTTTTAGGTGACGATATGTATATTAGGGTTATAACTTTTTAAAAATATCAAAAATATCATAACAAGACTTTGTAGGGCATGAACACACATATGTTACGGAATATATTACTTTTTTGTAATCATGAAAAAAGTTCCCGCACCAAATGCGATGAATTTTTATACGAATATTACTTTTTTCTAAATTAGAAAATAAATAATTTTGCCAACAATTTTGCATTTTTGTTACATAATCTTAAAGAAAATTTGTTCATTACACCCTAATACGGAATTTTTATTAAATCGCTATATATTGCATATTTTAGATAATAGTATACATCTATGTACATTAGACCGACTCACAAAAAATAGTGCTTGAGTTACCCCCGTCAAAATATTCGCTGTTATGTAATATGATGTTACCCAAAATATTTTGGGTTTAGTGTTGTCCATTCGTGAGCTGGACAGTTTTCAAGAAAATATCCAATGGACACGATTTTTTATGTTCAATTCAAAATTTTACCCAGCTTCAAAAAATCTTTGTTTTGTTTTATGATGGTTCCCAAAATATTTTTAGTCTAACGATGGACGTTCGTGAGCTGGACCGGTTACAAAAAATACCTTTTTTAAATTTGGTCCAGCTCACAAACGGACATCGCTAGACTTAAAATATTTTGGGAATCAACATAAAACAAAGCAAGGTAAATTTTGAGAGGGGTAACAAAAACACGTTTATGCTTTCCATACAGAGTGAGTCGGTCTAATGTACATATTGAAATATAATTAAAATTATTTTAGTAAAAATAACTAACAAAAGAATTTAAGAAGTTGCTTTGGGTGCGGAAATTGCTTTCGCCAAATTGTCCTTAAAAATATATTTATTATCAGGAGAGTATTGGCTAAATGGTAACGCAGTGGTATATTGGCGCCCCAAATTCCCTAATCTATCTGTCTGTCTATCTATGTACCTATCTATATATCTATCTATCTATCTATCTATCTATCTATCTATCTATCTATCTATCTATCTATCTATCTATCTATCTATCTATCTATCTATCTATCTATCTATCTATCTATCGAGCGAGCGAGCGAGCGAGCGAGCGAGCGAGCTAGCGAACTAGCGATCTATCTATCTATCTATCTATCTATCTATCTATCTATCTATCTATCTATCTATCTATCTATCTATCTATCTATCTATCTATCTATCTATCTATCTATCTATCTACATAAATAATAATACATAAATAAAATATTGTTTGTTCATAAATTTTATGTTAAATTTTATTTTAATATCATTATATACAAACAATAAGTTAACTTTTTAATTTATTACGGTCAAAACATTCTCGGAACAAGTAGAACATATGAACAAAATTCAACCCACTGACTGCTGTTAGGCCCTTTTATTTTTAAAAGAATTCGAATCAATTTTAGAACCTCAATATTTAAAATTTGGAAGTGTTGCAACTTGCAACGCCCTGTTATATTTTGGGTGACGATAAGGAACAAATAACGGCTTTTTCTATTTATAAACCTATCTTTCTAGACGTGTTTATATTCAAACCCTTAACTTTGTTTGAATATTAGAGTGTAATTATAAAACGATAACAAATTTATGTTTTACCTTTTGAAATAATTACTTTTTAATGATTTACAACAGGTATTATTTTGAAATATTGATAAGTTAAGTAAAAAACAAGTAAGAGTGCTATATTCGGCAGTGCCGAATCTTATATACCCTTCACCATAGTGTATTTAAAAAATATCAATTTTATAAAATTTTAATTTATTTCATTTTCCCTACTATATCATTATTATAGCAATAGCAAAACACACAAAAAACAAAATACACAAAGCAGGCAAACCAGTAGCCATCCAAACATACGAAACGAAATACACAAAAAAACAAAAACAAAATACACAACGTAATGAAACCAACAGACATCCAAACATACGAAACCGAATACACCAAGAAACAAAAACATATACACAAGGCAATGAAACAAACAGCCATCGAAACATACGAAACGAAATAATCAAAAAAACAAAAACAAAATACACAACGCAATGAATAAGCAGTGTTGTTGTTGCTTATTTTTTATGAAATTTTTAGAGGTTGTCTCGGATTTTTGCTTATATCTCCGTTGTTTATGGACGGATTTTGCTGATTTTTAATAGTAAACTTCTCGAAAGCATGTCTGATAGAATTATTGAAGATTTGGATCCCGAAGATATCTGGGGTCTTCAGAAAACTGATTTCAACAGACAGACAGACGGACATGGCTTAATCGACTCCGCTATCTATAAGGATTCAGAGTATATATATTTTATACTATATATTTTGGAAATTACAAACGGAATGACAAACTTATATGTATATACCCTTCTTACGAAGGTGAAGGGTATAAAAATTAATGAAATCTTGTTGGTTATATTGCATTACGAAATTGTTAGTATGTATTTTTAAATACATATTTATGTATAAATAGTATATACATGTATATAAAGATAAACAAAAACTTAATTAACATATTCATCATAATTTATAGCGTTCGTAATCTAAATACGATTACTCTACAAACTAATAACATCAACAATAGTCCCTATTAAAAAGGCCAACAACAATTTCAATAATACAAATCAATATAATACATAAGTGGTACATAATAATAACATAACGTCGGTAGCATTTATAAATCTGCGTCCATATGAGTTCGCACATACCAAATTGATCAAAATTAATAACCTGTTGAAAATAAAAAACTAATATAAAAAAGATCAACTTTGATAATATCTAAATGAATATTGTAATCATATATTAATAGAATATACTTGGAGCTACTAAAGTCAGTTCAAAACTATGTACATAGATTTTTTTATATAATCTTTATTACAGACCATATGTTAATATTACGATGTGATTTATTGTCTAGCTACAATGCATATTATAATGAATATCAATATTGAAAGTTGTATAAAGTTAATAACAAATACACTTTATGCTAAAATGTTCATAATTTTAATATTGATTGGTTATTATGGCAAACAACATTTTATACATACAGTGTCTCTCATAAGTATTCGAATTTAGGTAAACTATGAAAAGAAACCAAATTTAATAATATATTTTGTGTGGGAAATAAATAAATAAATTTGTTATATTGTCTAGATAGTCTTTAGTTTTGATATCACGCCCCTTAAAACTTGAAAACTTTACATTTACTTAAATTAGTTATGCTTTTTTTAAAAAAAGTCCATGAAACTACTTCACAAAAGTATGCGAATTTTTCCTGTATTTCATATTTGATCATATTATACGATACACACATTTTAGAATCGCATGGTTTTATGCTTAATATGGTTTTAAGGGGTTACTATCAACCGCATGGATATATTTTTGACCCATTTGGTCCACAATTTTGGGGGATTTGTACCCTCTTTTCATGTAATATCATTAAAATGGCGATTTTTGGCTATATTTGTAATGTTTTTCCAGAGATAAAACCAAAATTTAATATTGGAATTAAATAGAAACCATAGGGTATCTAAAAATAATATTTTTTGTTATAAGGATCTGTACTTAAACGTTCCAAGATGTATTTTTGCTATCGTTTTGCAGTTTCTAATTGAATTATCTGGATCATAAGTCCCTTTTCGTACCTCTAGGGACGATATTTTCCGACAAAGTTGTCTAGTGTATATTCATGTACATATTGGCACTAATGTATTTTAAATTTTCAATATATTATAGCGGTATACAACCCCAAAACATGCCTTAACAAAACGTCATCCTATATAGTAGATTTCAGTTTTTACTACTCGTAACTTTCACGCTTATGTTGCCCGTTACAATAACACTGTAAGTCCTAAATTTTGGTTTTAATTTGATCTTAGTAAATAATATTTAAACACATATCAACATTTTTGATGTGATCATAATGATATCGTGCCATGCAGCATGGAGGCCATTGGCATATAAAAATAATGATTTTACTATTTTGAATGGTGTTTCTTCGAGGCATGTTTTGGAGTTGTACACTTCCACAACACATTGAAAACTTAAAATGTATAAAAGCTGATATCTAAAAGAATATATACCAGAAAACTTTCCCCGAAAATAGTTGATCCTAGTATTATAAAAATGGACTTAAGTTCCAATATATTGAATTAGCGAAAGAAGAATGATCCGAATAATTTATCTTGGAACGTTTAAATACAGATTCTTGTAACAAAAGATATTATTTTTAGATACCCCAAGGGGTCTTTTGAGTCCCAATATCAAATTTTTGTTTTATCTCTGGAAAAAAGGAGAAAAATTTACAATTATGGTCAAAAATCGCTATTTTAATGATATTACATGAAAAAAGGGTACAAATTCCCCAAAATTGTGGACCAAATGGGCCAAAAATATATCCTTTCCGTGGATAGTAACCCCTTAAAACAATATTACGCATAAAAACCATTCGATTCTAAAATTTGTGTTGCGTATAATATGATCAAATATGAAATACAGGAAAAATTCGTATACTTTTGTGAGGCAATTTCATGGACTTTTTTTAAAAAAGCACAATTAATTTAAGTCAATACAAATTTTTCAAGTTTTAAAAAGCGTGATATCAAACATAAGGACTATCTAGACAATATAACAAATTAATTTATTTATTTTGCACACAAAATATATTATTAAATTTGGTTTCTTTTTATAGTTTACCCAAATTCGAATAATTATGAGAGACACTGTATGTACATATTTCTAACAAATTCTTGTTTTTAATAACTGTAAAATATGGGTTTTAATTACGACAACGTTTCTGACACATACTTTTTTCAGAATTTTATAAACATTTTTACATTTTCATTTTCTTATTCTTTTCCATTTTCTAAGTTTTCAAATGAAGAACTGCATTTTATATGTTGATTGCTGGTGAGTTTTGGTTGTAAAACCAATCCAACTCTTCTCTTTGTGTTTCATTTCATACTACACAACCTTGAAAGATTCAGCAGTAAAAATACGACGAAACTGTGCAGAAGGGAAAAAATTCCGCTTATCAAGACAGCGAACTGATAAAATTTGTCGAAATCGACCCACTAGTTTCACAAAGGAACAAACGAGTGCTTTTCATTACAGTTCACACTGCTCGGTGTATATTAAAAAATTAGCCTCTCATTAATAGTTTAAAAAGAAAAGAAGAAAAATTGGTTGCTGTTATTTTGAAATAAATGCAAAGCACGATTATACGACCCACAGTGATTTTCTTGATCTTAAGATTATTACATCTTGTATTTGTATATTTGAAAAATTCGAAACACTTATTAAAACACATCCGAATATCATTTTAAGAATATTTGCGCTTAACAATATTTAATATGTGTATAGAAGGACTACATTCAGGAGCCTCTATGTTAAACAACACAATATTTTGGCATATTTGTGTTCAGCATGTTCAATTCTGTAAGAAAACTTGCTTTGAATTAAAAAATATCAAAAATAATATAGTTTAAAGAATTCTTTGGAAAAGATGGAGTTTTTCATTCAAAAAATTTTCTTTTTTTAAGATTTTTTAAGAGAAATTTTAAAATGCTGTAAAATTTTTTAAAAGAAATTTATATCACGGATGTGATATCGGATGTGAATTATTGATAGCAACTATTGAATATAGGCCCTTGCTATAATGAATAAATATTGTTTTGTTTTTCAAACTTTTAATAAGTATTAGTTAATTATTAAGAAATTCACAATTTTATATATTTTTAATGAAATACAAATGCATAGAATGCCAATATAAATGTAAATATATGTATATAGATATAGCTTGATTGATATTTTTATAAAAATATGTATATATAATTAAATTTTATGAAGGTTCTAATGAAAATGACTTAAATATTTGACAATGGAAAGAGAAGAGTGTAAATAATTTTAAAATTTATTCTTATCACTTGCTTAAAAAAAATTAGGCATGTTTGTATATGTATTTGATAAGATTTTTAGTTAAACTTACTACATTGGTTTATATTAAAAACAAAATAAACTGAAATTTCATTCTGGGTAAATTGTAAATTAAACAAAAAAAAAAAAAACAGAAAACGAAATAAAAAAACATTCTATGTATTCTAATACAAATTTAATGCATTAATACTATAATCGTAATAAGTCAGACGGGTTTATAACGTATCGGTGGGAATTGATGATAGTCAATGCTTTTGGTATTGGTAGTTGTTGAAACAACAACTAACACATTAATCAAATTTAATTTTTTATTTTTACTCTAACACACCTATAACCCTTCTATCGATAGAATACAAATACTAAAATGTTTTTGCTGATAGCCAATCGTCTTATCAACTAAAAGGATTCAAACGATGTTAAAACGTGTTTTTACAAATGTTTTTATGGAAAAATTCTATATCAGCAGATAAATAGTTCGTTCGTGGGAAAATAACGTTTAATAATTAATAATTTAATAATTAGTATGGATATTTCTTTATACATCTGATTTCAATGTTAGAAGAATAATGTAAAATTGTATAAAAGGATCAAGTCTTCTATTTTTGAAAGTATGGTATTTAATTTTTATAATTTTATTTTAATGAATAAACTGAATAATTAAATAGTTAAAATTTAGCCAAATAAAAATATTTATAAAAATATCTATCTATCTATCTATCTATCTATCTATCTATCTATCTATCTATCTATCTATCTATCTATCTATCTATCTATCTATCTATCTATCTATCTATCTATCTATCTATCTATCTATATATCTATCTGTCTGTCTGTCTATAGATAAAGGAATGTTTATTGAAGGCATCGTGAGTGTTCCCGTACAATTTTAAATTTGTCCAACAGATGGCCCCGAAATTTTATTTTTTAGTAAACACTTAAACCGTTTATTTCAAAATTTGAGGGATATATAAATCTTTATGTATAGAGTCAACATGTCCAATCAAGGGCCAGAAACGCGGACCGGGCACCACTACTTATATTATAAAAACACGTAAGAGTGCTACATTCGGCTGTGCCGAATCTTATATACCCTTCACCATAGTGTTTAATTTAAGTTTTTTTCTTTAATTTTTCCAAAAAAAATTCGCATCACTTTCATAAATGCTTTCCCATCTCTGTGACAAAGAAATATATTGAAAACAACAAACACTAAACATTGTTGTTTCCAGCGGTTTACTATTTAATATAAACAAGCAAACACAACGTATGTACATACAAACAAGCATAATCTGTTGTTTTCATGCGTCTGCATGTAAAAAATACCGATTTTTCGACGAAATTTTTAGAGGTTGTCTCAGATTTTTGCTCATATCTCCGTTATTTATGAACCGATTTTGCTGATTTTAAATAGGAAACTTCTCGAAAGCATGTCAGATAGAATTATTGAAGACTGAGATCCCAAAGATATCTGAGGTCTTCAGAAAATTGAATTCAACACACAGACAGACAGACAGACGAACATGGCTTAATCGACTGCGCTATCTATAATATAATAATTGTAGAAATTACAAACGGAATGACAAACTTATATATGTATACCCTTCTCACGAAAGTGAAGGGTATAATTAGTATTTTTGATCATGTTACTCCATATTTCTCTGATTTCAAACATTCATTTTTGAAAAGTATTTCTGCTGTATTGGGATAGTTATATATTTATTCTAATCAATTCAAATAATATATAAATCCTCAATTGCACTACAGTTCAAACTACCAGCAGTGAATATAATTTATTTTCTGATCATCCTAGTACCAATGCACCAATATATTCAAATTCGCAATTGACTTTTGCGAAATGCTAAACCCTGTTCTTTTGTACACAGTCAAAATAATCGTTTCAAAATATTTTTAAATTTTTTTCTGTAGAGTCGATATTTTATCATTATTTTTAAGCGTTAATTATAGAAAGTGTTTGAATATTCTGAATAACTGTCAAATGGAAAACCCTTAGAGATGTCAGTACTTTATAAATGGTTGGAAATAATATCCCTTTACATCAAAAAAGACAATTCGTATATTCAGTTCAATTCTTTAGAAAAGTAAACTCGTCTCTGAGTTAAAAATTTGTCGGTCTGTGTATTTTATTTCGGAAAGTTCAATTGAAACCATAAAGGTTTAAATTTAAATGGACATTAAAGCCATGTAGAAATATAGATTTTTTAATCTACGTACTTGTTGACTATATAAACCGATGTATTTGAAAAAAATGTTTTAAAAATATTACAAGCATTTAGGTACAAATAATTATTTAATTAATTAATTAAATGATATTAATAGCTATTAATATCTTATTAAATATTTATAGTAACTAATTTATCCAAACAAATTTTCATATAAATTTTGTTCTATAAACATTTTATAAATGATTATGGATAACACCGAATACGGTTCCAATAAATTTTATTTAAAAAATATATGTATCTTAAATGTGTACGATATAGAAATATTGGTCATAGCTATAGAAAAAAGTGCATGGCATTCAGAATTTGATCAAGTTTTGTATCTCCTTCTTTTTGTCTTTTTATTTTGTATTTCCGTCTGTCAATTAATTTACTCATGATTCTCGATGCTGTCTGTTGTCTGCTGCTGCTCTTGTTCTGCTTAAATGTATGTATGTGTATTAATACGCAATAAAACGACAGCAACAGCATGTTTTGTGAGAATGTCTTATTTTGATTTTCGTCAAGGAAAATTTTTACTAAGAATTCTTTGTTTTTTCTTTGGAAATATCTTTATTTAAATTTCTTTAGTATTTTATACTTACATCGTCTAATTCGATTTTGTCATCATCTGAATCACGGGGATTTTCATCCTCGTGTAACTCAAGAACAAAGAGTTCATTGGGGTCACTCACGTCAGCCATTTGTTGCAGCAGATAAAGAGAATAATGTGGAGTGAAGGGGATAACAGACGGTGAAGCAATCACCTCAACAAAGAAGTCGCTGTGACAATTTTCTGTTTCTTCGTTTGCTTTTGTTTTTTATTTTTCTTTTTTGCTTCTTGTCTCCGTTTATAGCAGCAGCGTAGATCCAAAAACAAATTAAATCACTTTTTTTATTTTTCTAAATGCGTGCGCAGCTAAAAAGCTGCTTCTGTCTGCGCCTTTAAAGACCTTGAAGTATCTCTTCGGAAATACTATTTGACAATACAAAGCTCTAAATAGATTAGTTGTTTGATTGTCGCAGCCAGCAAAGTCAGTCAAAAAGTCTGATCGACAAAAAGCCAATGAAATCAATCAGTGAGACAGACTGACTGACAGAAGAATAGATATGTCCAGAGCAAGCAAATCAAAGCAAGCTCGTGGCAGCACACCACACACAATACACACACAAAAAATGTTAGACAAAAAGCACACCAAACTCCCGTCCGTATGCAGAACTTTGCACAATTAATTTCCGTATGCAATGTTTAATATATTTGTTACAATTATCAATAAAGTAGAACAATTATTTTTCTTTATCGAGACAATGCGTTTATTTTTCACTTAAATATTTTTTCTTCTGTTGTTATAAATAAAAATTTCACACCACACTGATGATGACGAACGAGCGAACGAAACACGAGGAAATTTAGTATTACCAGACTTGAAATTTATTGAAAGTGTTGCCACTGAAAACCTGTCACTATAGAGTTGCCGCTTTGCATCGAATTTCACCATCAAAACGAATGAATGAACTGATGTCTAAGTAAAATGTTTACATCAACGAAACGCAAGTATGTATATATTTTCAATATAGCAAAATTATTAACGTTTATGAAAGTTTCATACTACTTTTGTATATTTTTTGTTGGAGAAAAGTTAACGACTTAAGAAAAATAATATATTATAACATTGTGTTTGATGGGAAAGAAATGTAGTGCTGCCGTACTAGATTTTTTCTTATATGACTTGGTATCACTTTTCAATAGTTAACGAAAAACTGTGTATACGACAAAGAATACAGTAAAAGTCAAACAAAACGAAGACGTAAGGAAAGAAGATAAAAGAACGAAAATATCAATTATTAATTATTATTATCCATAGAAAAAGAAGTTCGACATTCATTACTAAACAAAACATCTTATTATAAGATTTTTTGTTGCTTTTATGCGATAACATATAGATAAGAGAACGTTATAATTTGAAACTACGTTAAAAATAATCGCATATTGACAAATCTACCAGGTCCATCAATCAATATGTCACAGGAAGAGGCTACACCTGTTAATCCTAATGATTTGAAAGATTTAAAGGAACGTATGAAACTTATAGTGGATGCCGATCCCAAGCAATACCATAATGAATATTCATTAAAACGCTATTTAAGGGCGTTTAAAACAACTGATGAAGCTTTTCAAGTGAGTACATATTCCTTATTATCCTTTACTGATTACTGATTATTACGTTTATCTTGCGTTTCCGTTCCAGGCTATACTTAAAACGAACAGATGGCGCGAACAATATGGAGTTGAGAACTTGGTAAATTTACCAGAATTACAAAAACACAGTAATAAAGCCCGAGTTTTAAGACATCGTGACTGCATAGGCAGGCCTGTAATTTATATACCAGCCAAAAACCACAACTCCAGTGACCGCGACATCGATGAATTGACGAAATTCATTGTTAGATGTTTGGAAGAGGCCTGTAAGAAATGTTTTGAAGAAGTCACCGACAATCTGTGCATTGTTTTTGATTTGGCGGAATTCAATACTTCCTGCTTGGACATGCAATTGGTAAAGAATATGATATGGCTATTGAGTAAACATTACCCAGAACGTTTGGGTGTTTGTTTAATAGTCAATTCTCCGGGGCTCTTTTCTACAGTCTGGCCACTAATTCGTCAATTAATTGATGATAATACAGCAAAGAAAGTTGTATTTGTAAATGATGAAATAGATTTGTGTAAATATTTAATACCTGATATTTTGCCCACAGATATGTAAACGTGACCTTAAAAATATTTTTATTAATAACAGAGCTTTTAAAGAATAAGTAAATCATCCAACGTTAAAGCTAATAATTAAAAGCATAAATGCATGTATATTTAAAAGAATTTGCTAAAGAATCTATATGATTAGTCACGGCTTAATTTATTTTATCTAAATCAAAATTTTCAAAATCAGCAAAATCATTTCTATTATTTTTCTTTTTTTCTTATTTATTTTAAAAAATAACATTCCTTAAAATTTCTGACATACACCAAAGTACAATATGCTACAATATTGTTTTCTAACACATTAAAAATAGTACCTTAAATGATATATTTCATTATAAACCTACATTCCCATATTTGATATAGAGATTATGTATAAACTAAGCTAATGGGAAACTAATAAAAAGCAAAATATCCCCGTCTAATAAATAAACCAAATAGAACTGATTCACTCAGTAAAAAGCAAGTTAATACGTCTGTAATCTAATCTATATATGTACTACATATGAATCTACATATTATAATATATGTATACCTATATAAAAAATATATTTGTTATCTATATATAGTATGAAATGTAGCAACTATTGATGTTTATTTGTATAATATTGAGTTTGGAAAAATTTGTGCAAGTAAATGCTTTTAATGAGTGCAATAATAATGTTTAAAAATAAATATAAAATGTTAAAAAAGATTTTGAAAATTGTAATTTTTTATTTAAAAAAGTATACACTCAATACTCTCTACCACATGTTCCACTGAACATCACGTGTACATTAAAATATTCTAATTTAAAAATACATTATGAAATTACGAACCGAAAATAAAATAACTAATTTCAAAATTAATTTTAATATACATACATACATATTTTGCTACAAATTTTATTGAAGATTTCCATCCATTTTCTTTATGTTTGATGAATTGTGGTAAATTCACGTTAAATGAAATTTAAATAGTAGCCAAAAAACTATTTAAAATGGAATGTTTAGATTCAATCAGCTCATATTTTCATTAAAATACAAATTGTATCAATTTTATTTTGAGGATATTTGTTTTGAAATTCACTTCCAATCTGTTCCGTAAACCGATTGTTTTTAAGAACGAATACATTTTACAACAGAATTTGGTATTATAATTTTACTTAATTAAAAAATTACCTCCTAATTTTATAAAACGAGTTAAAATGTGAGAAGTTAGCTTGGAGAACACCAAAAAAATTAAAGCATTTTTAAATGAAAATTTTCCTCTGATTCGTTTCAATTATTTTTTGAATGTGTTTCATATTTCACTTTCAATAATATTAATATTTGTAAAATACTTTTTAGTATCGGTCCAAATGCTTTTTTAGTAATGAGCTATTTTTAAATATGTTGCTTCAATTTAAAAGATTCAACATTATGTTTATATTTCAACATTTATTGATTTATATGCATTATTAATAATAGTATATTTTATTTTAAATTATGTTACGTTATAATAAATATAATATTGTATGTAACCGATCATATTAAGAAAAGAAAACATTTTTTCCCACTTTTGCTTCAATACCTAAATGTAAATTTTTCAAATCACTCTTTTGTGTTTGCTATAAATTACAATATTTTAATTTTTGAAATCAAAGAAAAGTTTTTTGTATTTGTATTTTATAAAATGTTAAGCGAAAAACAATGTGAAAAAAGAATTAAAGCTAAAATTTATTTACTTAAAACAAATGATCAAAAAATCTATATAAAAACATGCATCATAAAATGGTTGCTGTTTTATATTTATTTTTTATTTTAGCCTGCAGAGGAGCAAATCATTCTGTATTTATTTCTTACTTTTAGTATACACTATGTGTTTGTGTTCAATAGCTAATAATTCGATGAAATACATTTACGTCTATTCTTTTGCATTTTTTCGATATTTTCTTTAATGGGCGTACGGTTATAGAAACCTTTAACGATAGTTGTCACTGCTAAAACTGTGGCAATAAATTGATTGATGGATATTTCCCAATCATCAAAGTCTAGAGAACTATTGCTACAGCTACTAGTATTTTTACTGGATTTCTGTTTATTTGATGTTAAAGTCCCATCTCCACCACCATTACAACGGGCTTGTTTTAATTCTTCTTCTAAGTCCACAAATAATTTTGTAGTTGTTAGCGGTTCACATGGGGTAGTTGGATTACCGTTCGAATCAGGCTGTGTATTACAAAATAGAGTTTTAATAAAAACAAATTAATTTATAATGAAATATTTAATTTCAAATGAAAATTTAACTGGCAGTGAGAATTAAAATTTTTAATGAGATTTAATTTAATTTAAAAAAGTAATTGGATATTTTAATGAAAAATTCAATTTCTGCAATTGATATTGGAGTTTAATTAAAACATATTCGCATGAGATTGTTCATTCCACACTTCCAAATTAGTGATAAATAACTTTAAAATCCGCAGAATAATGATTTTGTGAAATTTGTGCTTATTTTTTCAATCCCGATATTTTATCAATCATAATTTCAGAATATTAAACTAAATTGTTTACAAGTTATGTAATTTAATGAATAGTTTATATACTTGCCTCTTCATTGCCACCCAAATTTAGCTGTGTAAAACTTTCTAAACTGGAATCTTTCCTTATATTATCCTTTCCCAACTCCAAGAGATTTTCATCTAAATTAAAAATCGAAAGCAAAAATATTAAAATAAAACATCACTTAAAAACTACTTAATTAATCCCAAACTCATTAATATTTATTAACACTTTATACTTTAAACTAAACAAAGACTTACATGCTTGATTCATGTCTGCATCAGGCTTTCCCAAAATTTCTATTAAACTTCTCCATAATATTTGGAAATTAGTCTTTTTCATATTCGGTATATTTTTATTAGGTGAACTAGCATCATCTGGCTGATCCAGAAGATAGCGTAGACTGCCTAAACTTTTCGTATCGGTATTCGAGTCAGTGCGTTCCCTTTTGGCATTTGTGTTCATTACTAAATCGCTGATTTGTGAAAAGTTTGATATCGTTTCGACATTTAATTGTGGGGGTGTAACTTTAGCAGCTCCTAAATCGGAAATATCGGAAAAGGTATCAATGGATTCAAAACGACCTTGCTGCTTTAGGGGTGCTATGGTGGAAGAACCATTTTGAGAACGAGAAACACCACCCATTATCGCTGCGGCTCCGCCGCCTCCTGGTGTGCTATTTTCATCTTCCGATAGATCTACATAAAATGTTGATGTTCTAGCATTGACAGCCATTGACGAAGCATTTGAAGCCGTAGATAAATTGGGTGTCCTTAATATGTCCATAAAAGTATTGCTTGTTATGCCTGCTAATGAATGTAGCTTTTGTGTGGCCGTTATTAAGGCGTAATCATTTTCATCGAAATTATTGTCGGTTGGTGATGGTAATGCCTCGATAGATTCGGACGGGTCATCACCAAAGAAATCTTCAGCTTCGATGGCTTCTTCGGCATCATCTTTAGTTTTTGTTTTTGGATTTCTTACTTGTTCGATTTCAACTTTTGACAGTAAAGGTGGTAAATGCAAAATATACAAAAGTTTTAGTTTCTCAGTATATTTACTAGAACATACTAGGCCTAAGGCGTTCAGGATTTGAGAAAAATCCAACATGCCAGTACTTTTTTTGTCAGTAAGCTGTAATAGTCGCGGTGGAAAATATTTACATAAATGTGAATATCTTTTTAACCTAAAATTTTTACTTACACGGAATAATTTTTCAGACAAATCAATTGTCACACATGTGCGCCATGGCGTCAGCTCATAAAATAGCACTCGGAATGTATCGAAATCAACACTGTATGCCTCAGCGCGACTACAGTTGTTGTCGGGAAACCCGAATCGATGGTGTGTAGGTGAAGGAGATGGCACTAAAATGGGAGATTCGCCAATATGAGCATGCAACTTCTGAAAATGAGCTTTGCGAAACGCCATCTTCTCTTCGCGAATAATACCCAACAGCAAACGTAACTCTTCGTTGCTAAAATACATATTGTCCGAGTGGAACTTCACTATGGTCTCTTCATTGTCTAAATCAAATTTTCGCATGGTTAAGCGACGATGTTTATTTCGCAGTTCCTCTATTCTTTGTAACGATATATCGCCGAATTTCGTGTAGGCTTCATGGATCAACGTTTGCACCGATTGTGTGCGTTTGCGTTTGTCATTGGCAACTGGCAGATCATAATCAGGATTATAAATGCCTTCTAAGAATTTGGAAAGTACCAACATGGCCTCACCATCATCGTTACAACGTAATAATTCATCTTTGTTCCATTCCAAAATTTGTAAAGCCACAACAAATATAATTTTGGCTCCATCATAAAAGAAACAATCGATTATTTTCAAAGAACTTTCGTATGATATAACACTGATGAAAATGGTCAGGAACCAGGATAAAGATATCATTTTAATAGTACCCAATTCATCTAAATGATGATGCAGTTCGGGCAAATAATGTTTAACTAATTCATTTAAAACACCCTGATCAATCTAAACAAAACGAACAATTTAATATACATGGATTACGATATAAAGCGAACTATATGTATTATATGTATGTACCTGGGCTCCAACGACTTTATCTTTGTAATAATCTGGTAAAAGATTTTCACACAAACTGGCCAAAAGCCAAAAAGCATTCTCTTCATCACAAAATAATAAAAATACTGAAGTTACAATATTCATCGCCTGTGTGTATCCAACTTGTGGATTTCTTAATGCATACGCCTGTAACACACGTTTTAGAGCAAACAAACCCTCATCGCTTTGGAAAGCTGGATGCTCTGGCAATGAGCGGTGCAAATCCCGTTCGATTTCATCGTGTGTTGATGACTGTTTGATAGATGCGGCCTTTTCCACTAAATCCTCATATAAACCAGGATGCATTTCTTTTTCATGTATAGCACCGGAAAATATCATCCATATTTCTTGTCGTAATTTTTCAGGAATACCTTCGACAATAAGATTGATTACTGCCGTAGTACGAAACATTGATACACCACGACCATAATCGCGAAAATGTGATTCCCAGCGGGAAAGTTTTTCATCCTGTATACGCTGCATTTCCGGAGTAAATCGTGTTTTGAAAGTATTGATTAAGGCTGATTGCTTACTCCAAGATATATCATATTTAGGACGTTCACGACTGATGGGACTGAAAGTTGAGCATAAAATTTTGTTTCAATGTTGTAATAAAGTTGAGTTTGAATAGTTAAAATGAAATATTTTATTTCTAATTTAGGAAAATGAGGAATTATTGAATAAAAATATTAATAAATTTATACTTACACGTGAAATTTTGATAGTAAATCAGTAATTTTTGTTATTAGAACATCTCGAGCGACTATTTGAGCAAATACGAATGGAACATTTTCTGAAGTTATAATAACAATTTGATTTTCATAACGATGGTTACCATCGTCTTTTTTCTCTACACTTTTAATAACTTTTAGAGGAATGACCACGCTAACGAAATCTTTTATGTCACTAGTAAAACAAAAGAAATTGGTAGATAAATAAATATTTCCGCCGATATAACGTTTTGAATATGGTGTCCATAAGTTAGCTGGAATAGTAAAAATTAAAATTAAGAACATTAAATAATCATTTCTTTAACTCACCCTTAATAGTTCCATCTATAATCTCAGATTGTGGTAAACGGAAATATACACGAT